TTTGGTGCATACACATTTAGAAATGGTCTAGTTGATGGATTGACTCTTTATCATTATATAGATAAGATTTGTCTTGTAATTCTTTACTTTGAAGTCTACTATAGCTGATATTAGGACAACCACTCGTACTTTCTGTTGTTTGCAAGACATGTCTCTTTCCATCACTTTAATTTTAACAAATATGTTCAAACATGATATATCATTTTATTTGAAATGAGTTTCTTGTAGCTGCGATGATGTATATGTAAAAATTCTGTTTTGCTAGTCTGGTTTTTTAATTGGTATAGACATTTAAGGTGGTTATTGAAGTATTAGGACTAACGGGTTGCTGTTTCATTTTTTGTTTTCTGTTCTCTTTTTTCTCTTTTGCATGTGAATTACTTGAACACTTAATAGAACTTCAAATTGCTACATCTATATTGATTTTTGACTTTATCTTTTTGTAATTTTTTTTTATTAGCTGCTCCAGGGAGCTTATGTGTATGTGTACCACATATATGTATCCATGTGCATTAGTCACTTTCTTTTCACTGGGACAGAATACCTGACATTATAATTTAAAAGAGAAGAGCTTTCTTTTGACTCCTAATTTCAAAGTGTTTAGCCCATGCATGATTGGTTGACTCTAAGCAAGAAACAGTGTGGTGGAAGGGCATGGCTGAGGAAGGCTGCCCACCCAGTGGCAGCCAGGAAGCAGAGAGAGAAGGGAGGATCCTGGGACAAAAGTACAGCCTTCCAGGTCATGTCTCCAGTGAGCCATTTTTTCTGACCAGGCCCAACACTTTATTGGCACATTCATCTATGGACTCATAAATGGCTTAGTCCACTGATGAGCATAGTGCCCCATGATCCACTCATCTTCCAAATTCCCCATCCCTGAGCATATAAAACTTTTGGGGGACAGTTTAGATCTACACTATTATAATACATGCTATATATAATACATAATTAAATAACTTAGTCTAATAGTCATTATTTCACCAGTTCAGATGAGTTGTAGAAACTCCCCATTTGCCCCTTACTCTCCCAAATTCATGACATAATTTTATTAAATAAATACATTGATAACTACATCTGTTTTTTGCCTGAACCTTCAGACAATTTAGGAAATGCAAGAGGAGAAGCAAAGTTTTGTATATACATAGAGTCTTAACTCTTTCAGTTCTTTCAGCTTTTCTACTTACCTAAGATTCCTTCCTTCATTATTTCCTTTCTGTTTAGAGAACTTCATCTTGCCATATTTTCAGTGTGGGTCTGCTGGTGACAATTTCCCAGTTATAGCATTCAAGGGTGACAGTTCTTTTCTTTCTTCACTTGAAAAATGTTATGCTACTTCCTCTGACCATGATGGTTTACATGAGAAATCTACTGATATTCTAGCTGTCTTTTTCCTCTGAGTAATGCATTATTTTTTTCTGACTGATTTCGATTTTTCCTTTAGAAGTATATTTATGATGTTTCTGGATGTAGATCTCTGGGTTAATCCTGTTTGAATTTGTTTAGCTTCTTGAATTTGTAGATTTGTTTGTTTGGTCAACTTTGAGAAGTTTTCAGTCAAGTTTGGAAAATATTTTTTCAGCTCACCTTTCTTGTCCTCTTTTGTGTTGAGGAAATTCTGTGTACCTCTGTAGTCTTGAGTGCCCCTAAAGCTGTTGGATCATCTCGTGCTCTTGGCTCATCACAGCTGAAGGAATAATCAAGAACCTTCTAGTCCGCTCCCTGGGGTTTTCTTTGTTGACTCAGGTGCTCCATATTGGGACTGAGCAGGCCACGTCTTGCCAGTACTCTTTGAAAGTGCTTGAGCAGGAACAGATACGTTTGTCCTCGAAGGAAGAAAGGTATCCCAGTCCATTTTCTCCATGTGCAAAATAACTGGGGCTTTGTGTTAAGTAGGTTTTATTATAATTTTTTTTATCATTGTGCAGAAGAACCTTATTCTTCTGTTTGATGATCAAAATCAAGATAAGAAAAAGTGGTTCTCTTATACTGGCAAAGTGACTAGAGGGCCCTTACCTGTGTTGGTGAAGCCTTCCACAGAGAGAATGGCTAGCAACAGTAACCTTAAATCAGCTTTTATTGTCGTTGATGACTGTATCTGAATGGGAGAAGTGTTGTCAACCTTATGTGTCCTTCTAGTCAGATTAGAAGGGGACAGTAGATCTTAGAGGTCCTACTTGTTTCTTAAAGTAGCAAGTTATTCTTGCTCAATGCTTGTTAACTTTTTAAATTTTTCATATGGTTTGGTGAGGTGGACTAATCTGTTTATCTTCTGAGGTCATCCTGTGGACTGGCTTGCCAAGAGGACTGTGGCTCTGTGAGATGCCATGTCCTATTGAGGACTCCAGCATTGAAAGCATATGATATACTCCTTTTGGAAGTAACACCAGTTTGTATGGTTTGAAGAGCCAGATGGTATAGCTTATTTGGGAATATTTACTAATATTTGCACTTGATCTTAGCCAAAAGGCCGAGAAGCGATACTTACCAATATTTGAGCAGAAAATAAAATTAACTTTTTTTTTTTTTTTGGCAAAGCATTCCTTGTATACAGAATTAACTGAGAATGTCATTAAAAATAACTTAGAATTGGATGTGGTGACACATGCCTATAATCCTAGCTATTTGGGGGGCCAATTCAGGAGGATCAAAAGTTCTCGGCCAGCCTGGGTAATTAAAGGAGACCCTCTCTAAAAAAATTAAAAAATAAAAAGTGGTAGCCCACTTGCCCAACATTTATGAGACCCTGAGTTTAATCTTCAGTATTGGAGAAAAAAAAAGAAATAAACAACAATGAAAAAAGATTTAGAAATCTGGAGTTCTCTGATAGCTAATAAAATGTGCCCCCCACCCCAGCACTGAGCTAGATCTCCAGCCCTTTTTATGTTATTTTGAGAATAAATTATTCATTTTTATTTCATCTGTCAGACCTTCTTCTTAGACATTTCAGTATTGTATATATTATTCTTTTGACCTTTTGAAAATCTTATGGATTTAGCTCAGCGGCACAGCACCTGCCTGGCAAGTGTGAGGTTGTGAGTTCGATTCCTGGTACCAGAAAAACAAAACAAAACAAAATAAAACAAAATCATATAATTAAGATGGGTGCCTCATAAACTTTGAATCAATCAAAATATGTGTTTCCTAAAAAGTTTCAATTACTATTATTAAGCAAGAAGAGTATGTTGCTTTCTTTTCCTTCTCTCATGTGTCCCATAGCCTTGTTAAAAGGCCACCAAGAGCTCCCAGCATCGACCTGTGTGTTTGTCTGTGCTGCTCTAAGACTGTGAGGAGTTGAGTTCTCTCAGGGTGGGGTGGGAAGACATCTAGAGTGGTCTCCCCTCAGCATTGGGCCACTGAGATACAGGATTTTGCTTTGGTGGTCTAAGGAACAATGTTTATCTTTTGAAGCTAATCCTGAATCAGCTGAGGCATCTGGAAGAGTGGATGAGATTGTGTCCTCGGGACTGGAAGAAAACAAAGAAGGCAAGAGTCACACTGAGGAAATGGGCCTGTCTTGACCATTGCTTCTCCAAGTTACTGGGAGTTGAGGGCCAAGGGAATTAAAAGTTTTTTGTTTTTGTTTTTTTGAGACAGGTTCTTGCTGTGTAGTTCAGGCCTTAAAGTCACTGGGTAGCCCAGGCAGGACTTAAACCAGCAGCGATCTTACTGCCTCAGCCTCCAAAGTGCTAGGATTACAGACATGCTTCACCATGCCTGGCTATGAATGTCATCTTGACTTTAAAATTATTTGAGATGAAATTTTCAAGGCTTATTAAAGTGCCGGTGGGAATGGTTTTCCCTTCCCCATACTCTGTTTTCTAAACTGTTGATAATGGAAAGTACTGGAATCTATTTTTAAGAATTCACTGAAACCATGAAAATGTAGCCAAAAAGATGTCTAAATTGCAAAAAACATCCTCTTATCCCTTGATTGATTTTTGTAAAAATCTCTGCTCTCTGTACTTTTATAATTCACCAAATATTGGAGTGACTACTATGTGTAGTCACAGTTCCTTGGTGCTGGGAATTCAGTAATGAATGAAGCTGGTGGGATCCCTGTACTTGGAAGTTCTCATTGGGGACAAATAATACTTCAGTAGGATGCTACTGATAATATTAATTCATAACATTTCATGAACAACAAACTGACAAAATAGTATTATTTTTATGAAAGTTGAGAGGCTAGGCATGATGGTGGATCCCTATAATTCCAGCACTGTGGGAGGCTGAGGCAGGAGGCTGACAAATTCAAGTACAGCTGGGGCAATTTAGCAAAACCTTGAAGAAAAAGAAAGTTGAGACAATTTTGTATACTGCTAGTGGGAGTATAAAACTGAACAATTGCTATGAAAATATTAATTAAAGTTCCTAGAGACAGAACATTCAATGATGGTTTCCAGGGGTTGGGGGAGATGGAATGGAGAAATTAGTGTTTCATGGGGATAGAGTTACGGTTTTGCAAGATGAAAAAGTAAAGACAATAGTGGTAATGTTTGCTGGGCGTGGTTGTACATGTCTCTAATCACAGTTGTCAGGAGGCTGAGGCAGGAAGATTGCTGAGAGGTAGAGGCCAGTCTCGGCTGCATAGTGAGTTCAGGCATAGTGTAGTCCAGGCTGCAAAGCCAGCCTGGACTACAGAGTGGGATCCTGTCTCAAAGAACAAACAACAATAACAACAAAAGATAGTGGTGATATTTGCATACAACATGAATATACTTAACACTACTAAACTGTAGTCTTAAAAATGGTTAAGATGGCAAATTGTATGTGATGTACTTTTTTTAGAACCACAATTTAAAATGAAAATTTTTTTAAATGAAAAAAGCAAACCATAGGTATGTAGTATCATATAGCTAAGTGGCAGAGCCAGCAGTCAAAAGTCAGCAGTGTTACTCCAGCTTGTGCTTTTAGTTTTCGTTCTCTACTGTTTTCAAAACACTTTGATAGTGATAAGTTCAGTGAAACACGATGACAACCAAACGGTGATGTTTTACAGGCAGTGCTTGTGCAAGAAGCTGGAGATCATTGACAGGGTGACTAGGGCTGACCACTTTGGAGGTGAAGTCTCAAGAGGTGGAAGAAAGCCAGCAGAGGGACCTGTGGGGAGCTGGAGAGAGGTGGGTGAGCAGGAGAGTGGTTCACCAGAGGGGAGGAGCAATGCCCAGATGGGGGTATTGTGGGGGTCCATGGGGTGGGGTCAAGTAGTGTTTCAGAGGCCCAGGCCAGGAGGTTGGATTTTATTCTGAGCCCTGTGGAAAGCTATATATGTGTTAGGGAGGAAAGAAATATAATTTGATCTGTGTTTTTGTGAATACTGCCAAAATTTTACGTGGAAATGAAGTTGAGGATAAATTGTAGAATACTTATTTGTCCATTTTGTAATCACATGTCAAATTGAAGACTTTATATTTTATCAAAGATTAAATTATTGCTGCTTCTTTTTGGTGCTGCTTAAGCATATTTAGGTATTCTACCAGTATTCAACTATTTCTTTTTGAAAGATATATAAGGTGCTGTAGAACTAAAAATACCACTTTGCTATGCTTGGAGACCATTGCTCTAGATGATGTGTGAGGTTGCATCAAAATCCACCAGAGACATAAAATGATCTCAAGGACAAACACTGACTTACACACTTGGGGCACTGGCAGCATGGTTGTTGATTCACATTTCAAGTATTTTCAGGCAAAATTCATCTATGGACATAGGAAATTGGTTATAAAACTGCTTTTATCTTCCCAACTGACTGAAGTTCTCAAGGGTGGAGTTTTTGTAGATAACTTCAGTGAAAAGAATCTAATCATAAGCTTTAGCTGACATTATTTGATACTGGTAGAAAATCTCATTTGAATCCAGTAAGATTTTTCAAATTGGAAGATGTCTTTCATCTTCTAGTGGATCTTCAAGAGGATTTGTTGGAAGTTTGGGTTGATTCACTTGTCAGAGATAACATTCACAAAGTTGTTTTAGAAAATTACTTGGTAGCTTTGGGTGATATTAAGTTATTAATATATAATTCCCCCCACAGACTATTTTTTTCGAATGGATTTAGATTTATATAAAAATAGAGCAGATACTACAGTACAGAGGTCTCATTTGTTCCACTCTACCTCAGTGTTTCTCTATTATGCTCAAAGTAATCCTCCCGCTTCAGCCTCTTGCGTGGCTGAGACTATAGGAATGCACCTCTGTGCTTGGCTCAGTTTCCATATTAACATTTTACATTATTGTGGTACATTTGTTATACTTGATGAGCCAGTGTTGATATACTGTTAACTAAAGTTCATACTTCTTTTGAGTTTTAACAAATGTTTCCACGTTTATGGTGTCATACAGGAAAATTTCATTGCCCCAAGATTCCTCTGTGTTTTGGTCATTCATCCCTCCCCTTCACCATTCAGCCACTGGCAAATGGGAATCCTTTCAATGTCTCTATACTTTTGCCTTTTCCAGAATGTTATACAGTTGTAGTATGTGTCATTTTCAGATCCACCTCATCCTGGTTGAACGGAGGGCCTTGTGCATGAAAGGTAAGTGGTTTACTACTCAGTCACACCCCTAGCCCTTCAGACTGGCTTCTTTCACTTGGCAGAATGCACTTGTTTCCTCCATGCCTTCTCACTGCTTCATAGCTCATTTGTTATTATCACTGAATAACATTCCATCATGTGAATGTATATGCTTCTTTATTTATTTACTTATTGAAGGACATTGTGGTTGTTTCTAGTTCCTGGCAATCATGAATACAGCTGCTATAAGCATTCATGGACAGGTTTTCATGTGGACATAGTTTTCAAATTGGATAAATTCCTAAGAGAGTAATTGCTGGATCGTAATTAAGACTATGTTTAGCTTTGTGAGAAACTGCCAAACTATCTTCCAAGTGTCTTTACATAGCTTTTATTCATATGTGTTTGTGAAGCCATTCCTGTTCTTCCTCCAACCCTAATTTCTGGATATAAAAAGTGGCAATTGATCAGGTTTGATTTAAAAATTTATTTATTTTGTTCTATTTTTTATTTAAGGTAGAAAGTCTCAATGTCTATTGTTAATTTTTCCTGATTGAGATAAAGATGTGTATCTTTCTTTCTTTCTTTCTTTTTCTTTTTTTGGTACCAGGAATCAAACTCAGGACCTTGTGCTTGCCAGGCAGGTGCTTGTGCCACTGAGCTATATCCCCGACCCAAGATTTGTATCTTTCAAGATCTTAAAATGCTTCCTGCTATAGGATGGAATACTTATTTTGAAATTTCAAATAAAATAAAAGGTTCTGATTTGCTCCCCCTGCACCCCTCGTCTTTCTGAGACAGGGTCTCACTGTGCAGTTCAGGCTGATCTTGAACTCATTTTGTAGCCCAGGCTGGCCTTAAACTCACAAGGATCCTCCTGCTTCAGCCTCCCAAGTGCTGGGATTACAGCCATACACTATCAAGCCTGGCCTAGATTAGCTTTTTGAGAAGGCAGTAGTGTTCCACTTACAGGTTTTGAAACAGACATACAGTAGTGAGTTTATGTAATTTACAAAGGTCTTACAGCTAGTTAGTGGGAGAGATAAGATTTGAGACAGGTAGTATGGCTGCAGGATTCAGTACCTTAACTACTAAGTCACACTGCTTCTGTATTAGTCCTTCGTGTTCATGAGTTAAGGACCGATAGGTTTATTACAACATTTTAGCAATGGTTAAGTTTCACTGTTCAAGAATCATTTGGGAAGCTTGTTAAAATTCAAACTCCTAGGCATAGAAGTTCAGATTTGGCAGTCATGGAATAGGGCCTGAGAATTCTATATCGGATAAGTACTTCCAAGTGATTCTAATAGAGAAGATCTGTAGGTCACATTGTGAGAAATTGCTAGAAGAGATGTAGAATCAATGACTCCAATTGAAACACTTTTGATTTGGGTTTTAGAGAACTGTCTAAATCCTTGGGTCTTTGTAGTTTTACTGGATGGAACCAGGGAGTAAACTGTTCTTTATGCCTACATTCAGTAAGACAGTTTACTGCAGGGATTCTTCTCTTGCTTGGTGGTTAGCTATATCATCAAGCAGGAGAAGCATGTGAAATATATATATACACACACACATATATATATGTATTCCACCAAAAAAGCTATGTACACTTCAAGAAATGGAAAACTTGCATAAATGTTCTTACACTAAATTTATTGAGACATCATGAGATACATACAAGTTCCTTTGGGTTCTACAATTATGAGATACTCAGAGTGGTGACCAATAGTTTCCAGACATTTATTAGTACAGTGAACTGCTGCTTGGGTAACCTTGGTCATAGAGGTTCTTGCACATGCACTTTCAATTCCTTCTTTAAGAGCTGGCAGTGTAGTGGGTTTTCTGTGATATATGGCATCCTCCAGGGTCCCCCATAATTGGATAACATCATCAGTTGAGAAAACATCATAGTGTTTTTTTTTCTTGAAGTGTGTGTACTGTGTCTATATAAATACACATATGTAACATGCAGCATTATGTAGGTATTTAGCTGGACTCATGTAGGACATTATTGTGGAATCCAGGCCCTCAGCTGGATTCCTGGTCTATAGTGTGTGGGCAGATTTCCTGTACTCCCTTGTATATGATTCTTTGGGTGACTATTACAAATAATCTTATGAAATATGTGTCCTGTATTATATTGTTTCACCTTGCAAAATAAGCCCCAAACCAATACAGTTGTCTTCCAGTTTTCAGATACAGTTGACAAGTAAAAAGTGTTTGCACTGTATAATGTATGTGATACATGTATGTGTTATGAAATGATTGCATCAAGCCGTTAACCATATCCATCACTTCTCACACCATTTTTGATAACATTAGGGGCCATACTACCAAAAATGTTCACGTATGTAGCATATTATTAGTAGCTGGATTCACCATGCTGTATATAGTTCTCTTGAACTTACTTTTCTTGTGTAAATAAAACTTTTTGTTTTGGAGACAAGGTCTCGGTATTCAGTTCAGGCTGACTTTAAATTCATTGTGTAGCCCAGGCTGGCCTTGAATTTAGGGTAATCTTTCGGCCTCAGCCTTCTGAGTGCTGGGATTACAGGCATGCGCCGCTGTGCCCCTGTTCTCAAATGAAAACTTCTACACCCTTTGCTCATTTCCCCATTCTATTATAGTAAGGTGAGCAAAGATGCTTTATTTTATCTACCACACTGGTCCTTTGAACTTTATTAAGACTTCATTGTTGTAGTGGTGATGGTAGTGCAAGGGATCAAACCTAGGGCCTTAAAAATGTTAGGCAAGTGTTCTATCATTGAGTTGCACTTCCAGGCCATTATTTTTTAAAACACATTCACAAGGGGGCCGTAATTTGTGTGTCTTGCTGCTGGGCAGCACTGGGAGAATTGTATTATTAAAAAGACTGATAAAAGTGATTAGATCCATTTGTACCAGCAGTAGGAAAGTTGGTAGGACAGTTTGCCTAATGGACAGTCATGCATGTACCACTAGTGGTTCAAACCAATGGCAATGTATTAATGGAGCAGTTCGCAGTTGGTTTGTGTAAATATTCCATGTGTGTTTGAACAGTGTGTGTATTATACAGCCATTATGTATAGCAATCTTGTTGAGTCTGTCTCTATTACTTGTAGGTATATCATTATTTTAGGTTCCATTAAAAAGAAAAACTCTGGCAATTAAATCACACTTAGTGATTCTTCTTATAAATTTATTTATACTGACTATGAAAGAGTACTTTAAACTGGGTGGGGCAATGCATTCCTCAGTTCCAGCATTCTGGGAGGCATAAGCAAGTGGATTACAAGTTTGCCAATTTAGTGACTTAGCAAAACTTTCTCAAAATAAAAAATAAAGACCTGGGGATGTAGCTTAGTGTGAAGGCCCTGAGTTCAGTCCCTAGTATCATAGAAACAAAACCTTTAAACATTTAACTATTGAATTTTTTAAAATAACATTTACTGTTATACATATATATATAAAAGTAACATATTGGGGCTGGGGATATTGCTCACTGATGGAGTATGGTATTTACCTAGCATGTGTGAGGCCCCAAGCTTGATCACCACCACCACCAAAAAAAAGTATTAGCAAAATAAGCTTCTAAACTTCCTCTCAAATTCCCACTCTACTGAAAAATTTTTGAAAAATTAGGGTTGTTGATAATTGTTTTTCTACACAGTATTATCTCCATCAAAGACTCTCTTTAGAGTGCTTTTCTGTCATCTCTAGGATTTTTTAAATGGTGAAGGTTTAAAAAAATATTAAACATTTTTATTAGTACAGATTTGTAGTATATAATGTTTACATTCCTTGTGGGGAGTTGGTGCATGTGCATAACACATCTTAATTCCTTTTTTCACCCTCTTCCTCTTTTTTTTTTTTAAACTAGATATTGAACTCAGGACCTCGTGCTTGCCAGCCAGGCATTTTGCTGCTGAGCTATACCCCTGGCCCTCCTTCCCTCTTTTGATCCCCTTCTCATTTGAGAAAGATTTATCTCCCCTCTTCTTGTTATCTATTATTTTTATTTTATTTATATTTTGGGTTTTTCATATAAGGGAAATCATGCAATATTTAAGCTTGTGTGTCTGATTTATCTCACAATTATGGTCTCAGTTTGAGATGTTGAAGGTCTGAAATAGGGTGGGGTTTTTCATTGTCTCTGTAATTATCAAAACCTCTTATTGTGTATTTCTACTGCCTTTAAGTGAAATAAAATATTTATACTTATGGGGAAAAAAGATAATGGTCTCGGTGCATCCATTTTCCTACAAATGACTCTGTCTCTGGTAGAGTAGTGTTTATTGTGTGTAAATACCACATTTTCTTTATCTATTCATCTGTTGATGGACTTACAGGCTACTTACAAGATTTAGCTATTATGAAGTGTGTTGCTATCAATATGGGAGCGAGTCCCTGTAGTATGTCATTAGCTCTTTTGGGAAGATACCTAGAAAGTGAATAGCCGGCTTAAATGGAATTTCTAGTTTTAGTTTTTTTGTGGAATCCCCGTATTGATCTCCATAGTGATTGTACTAGTTTACATTCTCACCAACAATGTAAAGGGGTTCCTTTCTCCCTGAAGTCTTGCCAGCCTTTGTTATTACTTGATTTTTCTTTTTTTGGAGAAAAGGTGTCACTATATAGTTCAGACTGATCTTGAATGTGGTATGTAGCCCAGGCTGGCCACAAACTCAACAGCAATCCTCGTGCCTCAGCCTGCCCAGTGCTGGGATTACAGGTGTGCTCCACCATGCCTGACATTATTTGATTTCTTGATGATGGCTATTCTTTCTGGGGTAATGTGGAATCTCATTGTTGTTTTTGTTACAGCAAAATTCAGTGAGAAAGCACCCATGAGAAACTGAATATAGGAACAAACAAAGCTTTATTGGAGCTGGCAGCCAGCACTCTGACAGTCAGAAAACAAAATGTTGGTGCTGATCTGGACTTTGTTTCCAATTCATAGTAACCACATTCCAAGGGTCTCTAACAAAAGGTCACAAGATTTACACTTCCCAGGTGTTTGTTAGGCAGGATGTAGTTAATCT